TCCTCTCTCTCTCTCTCTCTCTCTCTCTCTCTATCTCTCTTCTCTCTCTCTCTCTATCTCTCTCTCTCTTCCTCTCTCTCTTCTCTCTCTCTCTCTCTCTCTCTCTCTCTATCTCTCTCTCTCTCTATCTCTCTCTCTCTCTCTCTCTCTCTCTCTCTATCTCTCTTCTATCTCTCTCTCTCTCTCTCTCTCTCTCCGCTCCCTCCCCCTCCCCGAGACATCGTCCTCGTCCTGCGCCCCGGCCGCCCTCATGCAGTGATAGCCGGGGTCTCAGTCTCGGTCTCAGCAGCTGCACAGCGTCTCACCCAGGGTCACAGAGGAGCCCCCGCTGACCCGCTGACATGCCAGGAAGGGTGTCGATGTTTTACCATCTCAAGGTGGTGGGTGTTGGCTACACTGGCGGGCAGTGTGCGATGGTTTCACTGACGAGGATGAATGCTGGCGTTTCGGTCCGATGTGGAGATGCTGTGATGTGGACACGGTGGATATTTGACAAGTAGGTACTGTGGACTGAGAATGTGAAACGTGGAGGGAGAACCGTGGACTTCGACGGTGCAATTGTGGATGTTAAAATGTGAAACACAGGTCCATGCCGGATAAGGATAGATTGCTCGTTTTTTTATTGTTGTTAGCCTTCCCCATCTCTGCGCCAGGTTGTTTGTTTTGTTTTTGAAATATGCATTTTATTGCTAACGATAACTTCTTGATGTGTTTGGGTCATGCTTCGTTGATGTTCTATCGTCTCCTTCTGTTTCGTTTAACCCGCATTCATTCCCGTTCGGTTCCCATCTCTTAACCACATGACTACCACAGACACTGCCCGGCGGGCCTCTCGCCCTATTACCTCGTCTGGTTTCCGAGGCTAATGCTCGTGACCGAACCATCACGGGTACTCCGTGGACGGTGTGTGTTTAATCGTGCGCCGTTCTGTGGTCAGATTGGTATGGAGCGCCCCTGAATGGAGCGCTGTTCAGGCCGCTCGCTAGTGTTGATATGTTTATGGCAGGTTATTGTCAGATGTGGTTTTCGGGCTACTCGTATGTGGGCGTCACGAAATTTCGTGTGTTGGTTTAGTGCGTCACGAAATACAAATGAGGGTGTGATGGGTTATAGGCCAGGGAGCATGCATATATGGTTGAAATATAGCACTTAATACTTAGGCTAGGTTGGGCTCCTCTCCTATCACCCGAGTCGTGAGCCGTCAGCCGAGTGTCGACTCGCAGCACACACCCCTTCCCTGCGGAACTCACCCTACTCTTCATCTCTCCCATTCATGTATCCATCTCTCCCAGTCATTTATCCCTCTCTCGCCAGCGCTCATCCCTCTCTCCAACAACCATACTCTCACCAACGCTCTCCCTCTTTCCCCAGCACTTACCCCCTCTGCCCCTTACAGAGGTGCTCCCGCAGCCTGCGGGCTGGGCTACTGCTACTGACCTGGGCAGGTCTCAGTACCCAGGAGAGCGCTGACCTGACGCCCTTCCACGGCTTCTTGCCGCAGAACAAACTCAGGTGAGAGCGGAGAGAGGGAGGGATAGAGAGAGGGAGAGAGAGGGAGGGAGGGCGGGAGCGGTGGCTGTGTATGTGTGAGCAAGTAATCTACAATGGAGTAAGGGCTGGAGCTTGGGAGTTGAACTTCACGACACGACACACGTGACACGAGTGTTTTACTTGTGAGAATGTAGGAACTGAAGACTATGAGAGGAAAAGAAGCAAAATTGGTAATCTGAGAGTGCTCTTGATACTGGTGTTACCGTTTAGACGAATTTAGGCACGTTTAAGTTTCGGAAGGTTTATCGAGGGCCTCAGATCACGCTGAGACTCTTGTTCTCAGACGAGGGTGACAAAGTTACTGCTGACAACTACATCTTGATGGGCTTACATAAGCGACATTACAGTCATTCAGTGACAACACTGGGTCAGATCTCCCCAAGCCGTTTGTCGCTGATCCACCCTGTCTCTGTCGCCGCAGGGCCCTGCTGCCTCCCGGCGACCCCCACCCCAACGACATCTACCATCGAAGTCGGCCCAAACCGGAGCCCATCCCGCCAGGCTTTGAGATCAAATACCCCGACTACAAGTTCACGTTTGATATACCCAAGGATCCGGAGCGGCCTGTGTATATTATCACGGAGAAGTCGACAGAGCCGGTAATACGCGGTCATCATGCCTGTGACGGTCACGGACATAGGGCGACATCTATGCTGCCGACCGTAGCGCCACCTACTCGCCCGACCGCGAGACCGCCGTTTCGACCTACGGTGGCGCCACCTGCGCGTCCCACCGCGGCGCCGCGGCCTGCCGCCCCTCTCCGTCCTCCGTTCGGCCGCCCCTCCCCGAGACCGGCCCCGCGACCGGTGACGCCTTTCTCCGCCTTCCACCGGCGTCCGGTACAGCTCACCTCTTCTGCCACTCTCAGCAGACCGACACCGACCGTGTTCAGCAAACCACACCGATCGCCGCAGCCGCCGGCACTGCTCACCAGGTCCCGTGAGCCGGTCTCCGCTCCGCCGAGGCAGAGGGCAACCACACGGCCGGTGGTGGCCAAGACACCCTCAACGCCTTCTCTGTTCGACAAGCTGAAGAAGTACCCTCCTGAGCAGTACCGGGTGTTCCCTGGTGGATACGCGCGGCTCTCCACCTACTCGTCACTGTCTGGATGAGGTGATGGAGGTGGGCGGTGGAGATGACGTCATAGGAGTCATACATGGCGTCATCCGAGGACTTGATGCGAGATGAAGCCTGTGTGCGGCTGTAGGTGACACAGGTTGAAAGGAGTAGAGGCATGATGAACGACAAACATAAAAACTCAATAATATTACGATAATGAGTGGATTCAGTGAATGTGAAACGAGTGATGCATGAGAAGTAAAACAGAGTGCTAACAAATTCTGCATCGCACGGAACGCCATCTCAAGAAATCCATTTTCAAAAGGATTTTGTTTGCCAACTTATTGCAAAGGCGCCAATTCATCGCGTTTTTTTTTTCAATTTAGGTCCTAATAATGACATACAGCATAAAGCGATGCAGTGAAAGGTGGTGTCTCATATTTAACCAGTGTCGCTTACATACAGCTGATAAGTCATAGCTGTGCTTCCTGTATGCTAAGATGGTGAACTGTATGACTTGTGTTGGAAGCGGAGTGGTTGTATTTATTGTGCACGTGAGTTGCCTGTCCGTAAACACTCGATCGCTGTGTTTTCAAGAAGCAACTGCCTTGTTTCAGCATTGCAATGCCATATAAGATTGCTCACGTGCCTTTATCAGTAAGGTGCTTCGACTGCAAACTTCTTCCGGACTCTGCGTGTTATCACCCCGTGTGTATTTCGTGTGTGAATGGTCAGACCGAGCCAGTATTACCAGCGATTGAGCCAGCGGTTCGTGAAGCTCTGTCTTGTCACGATCCTTTTAGGAACATGGGCTGGAAACACTGATACATTCACTGCGTACTGTAGTCTGTTCACTGTGCAGTCACCGGTTGCCATTTACAGGCCAAGGAAACCTGGCAGGCAGCGCAGACTGAAGTCAAACTACTCTTTGACCGATCGCTAGTTCCAGCTAACGACGCGACCCATTCTGATGAGCGATATCTGACATGTGCCTTACAGGTTACAGCGTATTTGAGACTTAAGTTTCGGGGGACCTAAAACTTCTGGTGTCTAGTGGCTAATGTGTGAATGTACTGCCTTGTGGCTGTCAGCTATGTCCGATCAGTGTCAAGCGGAAAATTTATTATTTAAGTGTGTACTTAGTACAAGTTACTTTGAGCAGCGTTGTGTTTTCTTTCCAGCAACGGAAGAGGACAAAACAACAGAGCGAGACAAGCGTGATATATTATCTTCAAAATGGTACAAAAGTACAAAACGTACAAAATGCTTCAATTTCTCGCGCATCACCTTGTATCAAAATCACCACTTTAATAAATTATGACTGAATTACCCACAAGAGGCCGACGTTGGGCCGACGCATGATATTGGTCTCAGCCTATCGAAATGATCACGAACTACTCAGATGCAAAAATGAGCATTATAGAAGGGGCGTCTCTCTTAGAAAAACGCATTATTACTGCGTTGCTTAGGGTGCAAAATACTACAGCGTTTCATCACCTAATTGGGAACAGATTAAACAATATCGAAAACACTTCTTAGTTCTTGGTGTAAAACATGAAAATGGCTTAAAAATGAGCATGTTGTTCGGTTACTGTCTAATGAGATGCTTCAAATATAGGCATTGCTTAAACACGACTTTATAACCATAAAAAGCATAATTGACATCGAAATATGTCTTAAACGATATCTAGCGTATTTTAATCGTAAAATGCACAGCATTGCACTTGGACTAAGCTCATGGAAGCTCATAGCATATTGTAACATAGGCGACTATGGCAAATGCTGGCAAAACAAAGCCCAACTACTCAGCACTTCACTAATCGAAATATGTTCTCAATCTTATCAATCAAAGCTCAATCTAAGAAATTCATAGCACTTCAAGGGGTATATGCAGGCAGGATGTAAAAGAATTTTACAAAACAATGGACAAACTCGTAGGATGAATGCGCTTAATACAGTTCAAGTTAATAAAAGTCTTTTCACGACAGGGCAAGACTGCCGTCTACCAGTCAAACAAAATCAACTGTGCGCAGTTCGGTGCTCTAAAAGCACACACAGCTACATTTGATCCCAATTAAAAACGATGTGACACCTAAATGTCTTCGCTTAGCATAGCAGTAGCGTGACACGCACTCCTGAATTATACGGAGGAATCATGCAAGCATAAGTAAAGCTAAAGCAAAGTAAGGACACTTGCGATTTCTTTGTTTCAAAGGACAACAAAGTACATAAGGCAGCTGGTTTTAACTGAAAAATAGTCTTATGCAATAATGCATCTCCAGAAAACAGGAAAAGATATGTTTTACCGCATACATCTTTTCAGTCGGATAAGTGAAGCATGCGTTTCACCATTTTACTAAACATAAGCAAACATAACACCATACTATGAGTGAATTTCAGTGGGACTGAAAGCATTCGTGACACAAATTGTCAACAATAAAAATTCAAGGGATCATTATTCATGATGGGCATATTATGGGAATGGAGGCTTGCATTGCCTCAAATATGTAACACCATTTTAAGGTTGTAATTCAAAATGGCATTGTTGAGATCCAATAAGCTCAGACCACCTATCAACATTTTGGAATATGACGGCATCGCCCTGTGAAAATGGTTCTTATGCATTGACTAGTGAATTGTAATTATGCTGATTAATGATAGGTCGTATTATTTCCACCGCGAATATTGGTGGAGGGAATGCAAATTTAAAATTAATGCAACGCTAAAACTCACCATCATGGCAAGATACAATGCAGGCTTTCTTGTTCGGGACAAAATCAAGTTCAGTGATCAATCGTACAGTTGCGTACAACTCAGCAATTGAATCTGCACAGGCCTATGAGGCAACTAAAGTTAGACCAATCGCATGCACTAATGGCAAGCTCGAGCCACCGCCTAAAAAATGATAATAAAAAGCGGGACACACCTAAGTGCTTCAGTACACTTTGCACGTGACCGTGGCTAAGCTCGCCTGAAATACTACTCAACTATCCTAATCCTCGCTTTTCTCTGTCTTCTCACTATCCCGTAATACCGTTCAATTGCAGGAATAGCCTCTGGGACAATTCAGTGGACCCAACCAACGATCCCATCCTCTCAATAACCCTCCGCCCACCTCTTCCGTAGAATGTTCTGACCGGTCTCTTCCATTCCACGCCTCTCCTCTTCAACTGTCTTCACATTCTTCTCTCTTCTCCTCTCCATCCTTCCTCTCGACTTACGTCCGGCGCTCTCACTGTGCTCAGTAGGCTGAGGCGGCCGCCGCTCCGCCAGTGGGCCGCACCGACCTCCCTGACGCCCCTCCGGCTCCATTCTGGGCCGCCTCTCGCTCCAGGAGTCGGTCAATGAGCTCCTGTAGAGGAGCCTGCTCCCGCCGGTCCACCAAGCTGAACTCCTGAGGGACGAGACAGAGAGGGAATAGGTGGTCAAATAAGGAAATTGTGTAAGGAGGAGGTGGGGAGTTGGCTGGCTGAAGAGGGAAAGTCGAAGACAAAATCGGCACAGCTCTAATTAACCAGTGACAAGGTAATGTCCGTGTAACGGGCAAAAAGTTTCAACTTTCAATAATTCAGCTTCCAGTCTCCCATCTTTCACCCCCTAGTACAGGAAGATCTGATGTTCTGTGTCACTCTCTTGTGAATGTTTGTATTGATCATGTAGTATACAAACATAAAATTACAGCACCAATATAAAGCAGATAAAACACAAAACCAGGCAAATCCAGGCGCGACACACACACAACAACGCCCTATGCTTCTCTCCACAACACTCCGGTTTCTCACCTGGACAAAGAATATGAAGTGTTTGAAGCTGGTGTTGAGGTGGGCCTCCTCCCGCAATTTCACCACCTCGCCAAAGTGCTGGTGGTAGATGTGTGCATACACGCGAAACAGTCGCTTCAGAATCGTCTTGGCCAGCTGGGAGAAATTCTTCGGGAACGGGACACCTACCGGCGAAAGGGAACGTGTCACACGTGTTACGATAAATCCTATTTCGCTCCTATCTACTCATTCATGCTCGCTCCCTCCCTTCCTCACAACCACACATCGCGTCTGCAACCATAGCGGAGACTGCTAACTTGGCTCTCATTGTACTCGACATTCACCCATGCCATAATTGTACATAAAACAGTACTGAGAAGGTCACGCCTCCCCACTCACCTCTCTACAAATTATAAAAGCTTGTCCCACACCATGAACTCTAACCCAATGAGTCCCTAGCTGTCCGGCTCACCGATGGTACTGGGGAAGGCGCTCTCATCGTCCAGCTGCTCCTGAACCCAGGTCATCAGAAAGTCGATGTACTTGGGCGCTGAGCACCTGATGGGCTTCTTCACCGTCTGACCGTCTGCCCAGTGGTACTCGTACTTGGGACCTGTGAGAAACGCAGGGGTTCTCAAATCAATAATGGGTCCTGTAAGACATGCAGGGGTTATCATATCCATAATGGGTCCTGTAAGACATGCAGGGGTCGGCTGGACCCTCCCCCATGGTTTTTCGCGAATAACTCGCGCAAAAAGCGGCCGATTGCGACGAAACTTTCAGTATCCTCGAGTTGATCAATTTTACACCTACTCTGAAAATTCCATGACCCTGACCCAAGTGACCTTTAACCTGTGACCTTTTTCTCGAGGCCTTGTTTGGCCGGAATCGCGATTCGGCGTATGTCGGCTCGCATTAGCCGCGCGTTTGTAAGCTTTTCGTGGTTTCAAACGTTCAAACATGTGATTTGATGTTGCTGCCATGCATAAGGGTGGATGTCAAGGTCACCTGAAGGTCAGGTCAGGTCATTGACCTTTGGTGACCTCGGTTCATTTTTTCGAGTTTTACATGTTTCTAGGCAAGTTTTTAGAGCTGAAATCGAATCTAGCAACCATTTGAACATTTACGAAGTAGTTTTGGTGCCTTCGTAACATGTTACGAAGCTATTAAAGGCGGTTGACGTGTACTACGAATACCCGTCACGACCCCTACTGGTTGACCTGACCTGACCTGACGCGACCTGGTTTAAATGCTTAAAGACATCATCTGTGATCAAAACTAACACGATATTCATGATCACGATCAGCATCCCGAAAAAAACCATAGCAGCCACACTACGACTTTTTAACAGGTCCCGATTTTCCCGATTTTTGGGTCATTGACCTGACCTGGAAGGTCAACCAATGACCTAGGAGCTTAAAATTGGGTAGCATCGGCTTCCTCTCGTCACGGGCCAACACGCTCGTTTTTTTTCCGCGAAGCTCTAGCTCGATCAGGGGCCAATCGGCAAGGGGGTCCAACGGACCTCCCCCCCCCCCCTTACGTTCGCGGCTGGCAAAACACCAATACGGGCGCGGGCTAAATCCGTTCTCTCTTGTGCTTGTCCGACTATGGCTCAGTTTGTTGTGCAGATCCATCCTCCTAGTGGCAGTCTCCAGCAGTGACCCATGGCTGACCAGTGACCCATGGCCTAACCCACCTGCTGACATCACTGGACAGGTATGCTCCGTGCAGAACTCAGCAATTGTGCCGTACAGCATGTTGATCTGGTTGAAAAAGTCCACAGCTGCAGGGCAATGGTAGAGAATAGTTGGCATTTGGCATCACATGGCAGTCACAAATCACAATAGTTGCATGGTCAGACTAATAAGTTCTTGATTACTTGTGCTTGGGAGCAATGGATCTATACATTTATATGGCATGAAAAATAAGTTGAAAAGTTTCCAGAAAAACAATAAATCTGCCAGGAAAACACACAGTAGGGTTATGCCCGGTACAGGCACAGCCAATCAGTTATCGTCTTAATCCTTACCCTTCCAGCAACCACCCCAATTACTCACTATTGACTGCCACCCACTCATTCAGGTCTTCTCCCTCTGGCAGCTGAACGGCCAGGCGCAGGTTGCCCGAACCGAGGGTAGCCGCAGCGTGCTTCATCAACTCATGCTGCCGAGAGCCCTCAGGGATGTTCTTCTTTGGCTTGAAAGTCTTGTTTGACCTTCCACTGCTGTGTCAAAAGGAGATGAGCAATTGCACTTGAATTTTCAAAACTTCATATTCATATTTATCTTACGTTCCAGGTTTTAATTTGATTCAATTTCCAAAGTTGTTGCTAGCAGGTAGGTAATCTACAGAATTCCATTTTAACTTGCCCATGAGAAACTGAGTCAATTTATTAGTTAGTATCACAAATAAGTATTCAAGATGATAAATTAAAACAATGTACTTACAAGAAAAAGCTCATAATGGATGCTAGACTTGACTCAACACAAGCCAAAGATGCATCAAACGGTGGATAAGTGATCACACTACCCACGAAGCGTACAACAACAAATCAAAATTGAGCTGGTTGGACCCAAGGCTAAAACAAATGGACAAACAGTAGTTACTTCTATTTCAATTTCGTGAGACAAGCCAGACTCAATAAACGATTTATTATATACGGCCTTGGGTTTATTATCAGCAGCAATAAGTGGATTTCTATCCGGATTTCTATAGCCTTGCAACAAGCACGCTATTCCGTTAGAAAAAGGTGCGGCTCATTGATGTAAACAAACAAAGAAAGGGTATATGACGCAGCAAAGACGATTAGTGAGATGCGTGACGACTAAATTAAAGTTTGCTTAAAATGTAATGTTTATCTCTTCTGTCATATTCTGTTGCTAATAATTCAGCGATAAGATTAACAACAAGAGGCAACGGTGACATGACATATCTCATGGCTAATATTTTTCTTCCCATAAGAAAAATCAGAAGCAGGTCAGTGAGATGGGATTTAGATCACGAATTCACGTAAGTTGACCTCTCCGCCACAGTGATCGAATCTTTGCTAATGAACTTTCAGCGATTGATAAAAAGCCTGACGGAATTTGCAGTAAACTGTAAATGTATGTATTTATGTACGAGTATGTATGTGCATTTTTCTAAGCTTCTTCCGCGCGAACACATATTTTTTAGAAGTTCGAACTTCGATTCATACCTACACAGCGAGATCCCGCCGCCGATGCGCCCCCACAGCACGTCGCACGTCTTTACCTATATCTATGGTCGCACTCGATCGAATCAATCGAATGGCAACTTGCTTCATGACCGCCTCCAGAAGCCGTAAACCTCGGAATTGTAAATCGATGACCCAGGGGCACTGGTCAGGTTAATTTACCTGTGATAAGGTTTACCTGGCGGGCGCAGTCATGAAGTACTCGTATTACTGAACTGCGTTTCTTTCCCACGAAAGTGGCCAATAGATTCATTTTTGATTTCTTTCTGATTTTTAACTTGCACTCTTCACTTCTTTATACCGCCGAGGTCATGGCAGGTGAAGAAAAGAAAAGTCACCACGAAGTGTTTCTGAAAAAAACTTGGAGGTGCTAAAGGGACAATAAAATATTTGACCTTGCACGCGGTCAGTTCAACGATACGGATCGACTGCTATGCTAAACGAACTTTTCGCTGATATCATGACCTTGACTCAGGTTAGCTTCAAACCATCGTGCTACGTCTTATCTGCTAGGCTGAGCACTTCCATTTTATCAGAACCCAGCTATTAATTATTAATTTAGAATGCATATTACCCAACTATTGATGGGCTGTTCGATGTAACGCATGTATATATTTGGCCACTTCCAGCAATGTACTCTTGCGGACTTTTACCTCAAAATGTGCATTGCGCAGCACGTGTAAATGCCAAAACCACATTCACGGGATTTCACAGGGTGTCACTATACCTAGTTACTACCTTTGTAATAATTGCATAGGGCCTAACCCAACAAAACAAACAACAAATAAGTGCACCTTCCACTCTCAGAAATAATGTTGGTTTTCGGCCTCGAACGCTTATCAGTTATTGGACCCCACACTTCTCCATCTCACCATTTCAACTCTGCTCTTCGCTCGCACTTCACTCACAGACAAAACGCCCATTTTAGCACGACAATTTATTAGTATATTCAACATCGCGCCCCCGTACACGGGGTCCGCCTCAGTCGACTGAGACTGCCGATAACTCGACAGTCTCGTCGAACCGACTAACCGAAATACCTAACGCCGTGATCGCTGGCTGCCGCGGCACTGCGCCGGCGTGTTATGTCTGTGTGTGTATGTGTGTGTGTCTGTGTGTGTGTCTGTGTGTGTATCGCGCGATTGTTTGACAGATACAGGGGGCGCGAGCGAATGGGACCGACAGGGAAAGAAGTCTCTCGCGAGTGCGCACATATACACAACGGTCTCTGACCCTCTGTCTCTCGTCTCTCTTTCTTCTGACATGACCTGACGTGACCCGGGACGACGGCGCGGTCGGCCCACATCAGCCCTCGTCACGAGGGCGTCATTTTGGCAACACGACGCGGACGGCGGCGGCGGCGTCGGGGGAGACGCGACATTCACACACCACAGACACATTGAACACAGGACGTTCACGATCGCTGCACACGAGGCGAGGCGGACCAACACAACGAGGAACTGTCCAAATCTGACCAAAAACTCGCGATGACTCTGGGATAAGCACTCGCAAGGACTTGGGGCGAGAATCACGAAGAGTCTAGGCGAGGACTTACGACTCAACAGACTCGCGAGTCACTGCGGAGCGATGCGCAACTCCTGCTGGCTCGACTCAAGCCGTAGGTGTCGCTATCAGAGCAGTGCAGACGCTCAGCTCGTGTTTCCGATGTAGGGGAACCTGACGCCGTGCAGTGTCCCCGCAGTCGTCAGCTTCTTGTCACCACAACTTGACGCTGATGGACCGTCAGTGGATGTTCCTCACTACCAGCGATGGCAGTCCAAACAGATGGATGTAGTCACGACACTCAAAGCTCCATTGCTGTCTCGTTTGTCCCTTACAACACATCGCGTCACTTTTCGCCGCCTGTCGCACCACACACGCCGCCTCCTCGCCACAGCCGCCGCCGCCGCGCGCGTCCACGACCGTCCAGTCTCTCTCATCCCGCGCGCCGCCGCCGCCGTCGCACCCAACCGTCCCTCCTCACTGCACAGCTCCTGGCTCCAGGTAGCCGGATCTTGTCAACCCCGTCCACCACGGCGCTCTGGCGGCTCCACCGGCCGAGTTCGCTCACGCCGCGAGGGGCAGAGCGTCCAACGGCGGTGGAGTGGCGCAGAGCTAGCGGTTCGGACACCCTCTAGAGGAAGTAGTCTGGCGTGCGTCGGGTGACGTGAGGCTCTCCACGTCGCGGAGCTGGGTCGAACTGAAGGCTGAAAAACGAACAAGGCGCGGGGTTAGATGGGGCATTATGAAACACCGTCTTTATAAAGAATGAACATCGGTGACGGAACAAACGGATAATGGAGATCGGTTTGTATGTAACAGGCTACTGTTTATGCTATACAACATGACAGTGGTTCATCTACTAACGTAATACTTCAGTGCACAGTGAAAAATACGGCAAGAGTGTAGTTTAAGAATTGTAATTTTAAATAAATACATCCTGCATTTGATGATATCTTTCAAGAAGTCGTGAAAATATTTTGTTTCGATTAAAAAATAACTGGCTAAACCACTCATAAACTTTAGCATATTCACCGTAGCAAGACAGAAAGCACTCCTTTCCAACATCTCTCGACCATCCCCCTGCCGCGCCTGTGAGAGCCACTCCATGAGTATTTGAGTGTGAACTGTGAGCCAGTGTGAGCGCCACTTACAATGAGTATTTGAGTGTGAACTGTGAGCCAGTGTGAGCGCCATTTACAATGAGTATTTGAGTGTGAACTGTGAGCCAGTGTGAGCGCCACTTACAATGAGTATTTGAGTGTGAACTGAGAGCCAGTGTGAGCGCCACTTACAATGAGTATTTGAGTGTGAACTGTGAGCCAGTGTGAGCGCCACTTACAATGAGTATTTGAGTGTGAACTGTGAGCCAGTGTGAGCGCCACTTACAATGAGTATTTGAGTGCGTCGTCGAGCTCCATGATGGCTGCCTGGTTGCCGCAGCGGTAGCAGTAGTTGGGAGCAGAGAAAATCGTCACCACGTTACGGTCATGGCACCTGAAAACAGCCGACAGAACGATGTAAGTTCGGAGCATTAATACGATTATCGCAATATCATATCCATTCTGAAAAATAGTATGTGTCGCAATCTCAACATTCATATCAATCAAGGATATTGCAGTAGCTTATAATCGACCAAGGTAGCCACTTCAATATCATCGAACCATTGTTGGTTAGATCGCAGACTATCACATAGAGATATCGGACTACCTTTATAACGAACACGTCCACTCGCCCCTGAGGCCGTCCCCTTCACTGACCAGTGATAGCCGCCACCCCTTCCTAAACTCAGTCCTCTCATATTACCAGAAAACAGCGCCGGGTCTTCCATGGACTGACCAGCATCCACTATACACTACCCTCTATCTTTCCCTGAGCCCACGAGTCCTGCCCTCCCAAACAACGAACGCCTGGGCGTCCATTGTTCAGTTGCATCCCTCCATAACGAGCTCGGATGTCTTTCCCTTCCTCCCATAGTATAACCACCGAGATCCCTCCTCACTGACCAGCTGTATCCCTCCATGACTTTTCCTTCCTATCAGAGTACAACCATCCACTGACTAGCTTTATCCCTCACTTTACGACCATCAACATGCTGTCTCCCTCCCAAGTACAGAGAAAAGCCCAGAATGCCTCCACCCCTCACTAACCAGTTGTATCCCTCCATGACGAGCTGATGGGCCCTCTCCCCTCCCCCCGCAGCCCCCTCCACTCCTCACTGACCAGTTGTATCCCTCCATGACGAGCTGATGGGCGCAGCTGACCTCCCCCCCCTCCACCCCTCACTAACCAGTTGTATCCCTCCATGACCAGCTGATGGGCGCGGCTGTCCCCCCTCCCCCTTACTGACCAGTTGTATCCCTCCATGACGAGCTGATGGGCGCGGCTGACGAGCGTCAGGCCGTTGCTGTGGTTGAACGTCTCCGAGATGTCCTGGCCGAAGGTGTAGCCGGCTCCGCGCGGCGAGATGCCCCAGCCGCCGCGGTCGTCCGGGTCCGACCACAGCAGGTCGCACATCGGGCCCTGTCGGACGAAAACGAGAGGGGCAGTCAGCAATTGTGTCGAATTAAGCGTGGCAAGAAAGGCCGACAGACACAGAGCAGAGAGTTAGATATGAGACAGCCGGCAGTGTTGTGCGTGGTGAGAAAGGTCGGCGAAGGCATCCGTTATGCCAACAAATGAGGTACGATGGAACAAAATTTGCCATTTGCTCATCAAAGATCAGGGATATGCAAAACAAACAATAACCCGTAATACGGTATTTTCAACGTTAACAACTACAATATTTTCGTGCATACGAGTATACGAGTGAAATTGATGGAAACCAAATTCCCCCAGACGTTACACAATAGGCATCACTGAGCCGACATCATAAATTATTGTCAGAGGGGTGTCACTTCTGCGCAACCAGTAGCGGGTCGGGTGAAGGCACCAACGTCGTTGGTTGCACGCAAAGCCTATACCATTTACCAATTACGCAATACGCAGCACTTTGCGACGGTAACAGCACAAACCCCAAATCCAACTCCATGTGATGATTGACTCAG